CACTGGATATTAGGATGCTCAATAATCTAAGGGAGAGCTTCAACAAAGAGATAAGAAAAATTAATATGGCGATATTTTAGAAAACCTAAAAAAAGAACCCATCAAAAATAAAGAATACAGGTTCCTTTGGAGGAATGTGAGAATCTGTTCCACATCTCTTCCCTAGCGTCCAGTGGTTTCTCTCGCAATCTTTGGTGTTCCTTGGCTTGTAGAAACATTACCCTGATTGCTGCCTTCGTGGTCGCATGGTGTTCTCTCTGTGTGCATGTCTCTGTCCAAATTACCCCTTTCTAAAAGGTCACCAGTCATGTCAGATTTGTTCCCCACCCTATTTTAGTATGACCTCATCCTAACGAATAACATCTGCAACAACTCTATTTCCAAATAAGGTCACAGTCTGAGATACTGGGGGTTAGGACTTTAACATATTAATTGCAGGGGGGGTCCACAATGCAATCCATAACAGGGTTATGATGAACAATATGGCTAAGAATATTCTTGCACGTTTTGGTGAATATATGTACTCATTTCTGACGAGTATATTCCTACAAGTGGATATACTGGATTTACAGAATATGTATATGTTCAGCTTTAGTAGATTCTGCCCGTTTTCTAAAATGGTTATATCAATTTTCCCTCCCATCATTAGTGTATGAGAATTCCACTTGTGCCACAGCCTTACAAATATTTGGTATCATCTGTCTTTTTTATTTCAGCCTTTATTATGGGAATATAGCTGTATCTCATAGTGATTTCAATTTAGATTTCCCTGATTACTAAGAAAGCTAAATTCCTTTATGTAAAAAATGAATACAATAACTGAATTAAAGAATGAGAAAAAGTATAACTATTCCACTGTGTTGTACAGCTGAAACTAATTCTAAAAAATGTGTATTTCACAATAAAAAATAAAAAAAAGAATAAATGAGGGGAAATCAACAGCAGATTAGATAAAGCAGAGAATCAAATCAGCGACCTGGAAGACAAGGTAGCAGAAAACACCCAATCAGGATACGAAAAAGAAAAAAGATCCCCCCCCACCAAATGAGGATAATTTAAGAGACCTCTGGGACAACATCAAGTGTACCAACATTCGCATCATAGGCATACCAGAAGGAGAAGAGAGAGAGCAAGGGATTGAAAACCTATTTGAAGAAATAATGACTGAAAACTTCCCTAACCTGCTGAAGGAAATAGACATACAAGTCCAGGAAGCGCAGAGATTCCCAAACAAGATGAACCCAAACAGGCACACATCAAGACACATCATAATTAAATCGGCAAAGGTTACAAAGAGAGAATCTTAAAAGCGGCAAGAGAAAAGCAGTTAGTTATTACAAGGGCGGTCCCATAAGACTGTCAGCTGATTTCTCAACCTAAACTTTGCAGGCAAGAAGGGATTGGCATGAAATATTCTAAGCGATGAAAAGCAATAACATACAACCAAGATTACTCTACCCAGCAAGGCTGTCATTTAAAATCGAAGGAGAGATAAAGAGCTTTCCAGTCAAGAAAAAGCTAAAGGAGTTCATCACCACCAAACCAGTATTACACAGAATATTAGATGGAGTTCTTTAAGACAGGGGGGAAAATGATAAAAAATATGAACAATAAAATGGCAATAACTACATATCTAGCAACAATTACTTTTAACGTAAATGGATTAAATGCTCCAATCAAAAGACAGGTGGGCTGAATGGCTAAGAAGAGAAGGCCCTTACGTATGCTGTCTACAAGAGACTCACTTCATATCGAAAGACACACACAGACTGAAAGTAAAGGGATGAAAATGGAAACAAACAAAAAAAGCTGGAGTAGCAATACTTATACCAGACAAAACAGACTTTAAAACAAAGGCTATAAAAAGAGACAAAGGACCAAATAATCCCACTTCTGGGTATTTATCTGAAGAAATCCAAAACATTACTTCAAGGGAATGTGTCCATCCGTATGTTCATTGCAGCATTGTTTACAGAAGCGAAGATATGGAAGCAACCTAAGTGCCCATCAATAGATGACTGGAAGAAGAGGAATATTACTCGGCCATAAAAAAGAATGGAATCTTGCCATCTACTACCACATAGATGGACCTAGAAAGTATTGTGATGAGTGAAATAAATCAAACAGAAAAAGACAACAACAACAAAACACAGAAAAAGACAAATACCATATAATCTCACTTATTTGTGGAATCTAAAGAGTAAGATAAACAAAACAAATAGACTCACAGAGAACAAACTGATGGTTGCCAGATGGGAGGGGTGTTGGGGAATGGGCGAAAAAGGTGAAGGGATAAGAAATACAAATTGGTAGTTACAAAAGTGTCACGGGGATATAAAGTACAGCACAGGGAATATAGTCAATAATATTGTAATAACTATGTATGGTGTCAGATAGGTACTAGACTTATTGGGGTAACTTCATAAGTTATATAAATGTCTAATCACTGTGAAACCAATATACTATATTGTATGTCAACTGTAATTAGAATATAAAAAATTGTAAAAAAACAAAGATGCTGGAAGCCTAGAGAAGGATATATGCTCTTTTTTAAAGGGAAGATGATAGGTATCACAAGGTTCTGGATAGGTAGATTTCCCTTAATCACAGCAAGTTTCTAGAATACGTTATGGGAAGAAAATGGCTTGCATGAGACCTAGAAGGGAGCTAGTGATCACAAAGGGATTATAAAACCCTTTAAGCACAGTTCCACAGACTAAGCTCATTTTCTTTTCTGCAATGAGCTTTAGTAAATGTGAATGGTAAAGCAGAGGGAATGTTGTAGGCATAGTGTATCTGGATTCCAGCAAGGCACAGACAAAGCCACTCATAATGTCCTTGGGAAAAAGTTCGAAGATGTACACAGTGCAGTTATTGAATGGTCATCCCAAAGTCTGCTAATTAATGGATCAATGTTTATGTACTAACTTACTATGTGTCACCTCTACTCAAATGTAAGGTCTTCAACAGAGGGACTTTGTCTTCTATTTTGCTCATGATTTTATCTCCAGTACCTATAACAGTGCCCAGTACATAGTAGAGTGTTCCAGAAATGTCTGTTGCATGAATGAATGAACTTCGAACTAGGGCTTCAGGGCAGGTTACCAAGCTCTTCTCTGGCCTCTCCTATTCAGTATGTTTCATCATTTATTTGGATAAAGATGTTAGGTGGCATGCTGACCAAATATGCAGACAATGTGGGCGTCTGAGAGAGAGAACAAAATAATAAGAGTGTATCCAAAAAAGAACAACCAGCAAGAGCAATTTAATAGAGATGAATGTACTTACATGGAAAAAACTGGAAGTACAAGCTGAGGCATTAATGGCAGTATGTGTGAAAAAGGACTTAAAAGTTTTCATTCATTCTTTTTTTTTTTAATTGGGTAAATTTTTTTCCAGGACCCATCAGCTCCAAGTCAGGTTGTCGCCCTTCAATCTAGTTGTGAAGGGCACAACTCAGCTCCAAGTCCAGTCGCCATTTTCAAACTAGTTGCTGGGGGCGTAGCCCACAATCCCATGTGGGAGTCAAACCGGCAACCTTGTTGTTAGGAGCACGTGCTCTCACCAGCTGAGCCGTCCTGCCACCTGTTGGCGGCTCAGCAGCAGCTCAGCTTGGGCGCAGCGTCATTGGCCCATGTGGGAATCAAACTGGTGGCCCTGTTGCTCAGAGCACCGTGCGCTCCAACCAACTGAGCCACCCGGCTGCCCTTCATTCATTCTTTGAACAACCACTTTTTGAAAGTGCCAAGCACTGTGTTGGACAGTGGGGATACACAACCTTGAGGACAGCATAGTGTCTGCCCTTGTGGAACTTAAAGATGATTGAGGGTGACACAAATGATTCAGATTAGTCCACAAACAAGAGCACATTTACAAACTGTGAAGAATCAAACAGTGCTTAGGGAGCTTGTAATGAGAACTGACTGGGAAGTCAGGGAAGGTTCTCTGAGGAACTGACTGACACTTGAGCTGACTTCTCAAAGCTAAGGAGGAAGCTCAGGTGAAGTTAGGGGAAAGCTAACAGTAAGTGCAGTGAGTCAACTACATGAAGCGCCTGCAGAAGTGTAACTGTGGTCCCTTGCCCTTGCCCGCGGCTCGCTGGGCTGGGGACGCGCTCACGACTCGGCCAGTGTTTGTCAGGCCTTGGGCTAAATAGGCAGCACTTATGGTCAGGATGTTGGTATTAGGACCGAGGAGACAGGTGCATGGCTGGGAGATCACTTGGTTTTACACACACACACACACACACTTTCCTAGCTCTGTCCACTGAGAGGACCTAGAAATAAAGGCACTCCAGGAACAATGAGTACACCTAGCACCCAGATCTCAGGCACTAACTACCATTGTCCATTAAAAGGGGCCAGGGATCCTTGATTCCAGAGATGGGAAAGGCAAAATACAAGATTAGGTGATACGAAAATATTTTAAAAACTTGAATCAATAAGTGAAGAAAATGCTCTACCTAACAAATGCCAACTCATAAGTGAAAAGGGAAGGATGGGAATTTAACACACTGTGGACCGGTGATGCAGCTTTGCATCTATATACTTAAATGCCCCATCCTCAATGTGTTAACAATCCACCTTTAGCAGCCATCACAGTAAAAATGAACTGATGCCCAAAGTGGTGAGTGAAAGTGTAATGAGGAACATGGGAGTTGGTCTCAAACTATCTTCCACAGAGAACCTTGTAATCACTAAGTAATTACTAAGTACCTGGTAAACACCATCTTAACTTTAACCAATGGTGGGAAAAGTGACATTGTGTGCCTGCTGGTATGCTGCACTGAGAAGAATGCATCGCATTTGTGGTATGCCTCCCCAAAATGTGTCAACTGAATTTCATCATTAGGAAACGTCAGACACAGGCAAGTCAAAGTTCATGCTACAAAGTAGTTAGCCTGTGCTGTTCAAAAATATCAAGGTCATGAAGGACAGGGAACGACTGAGCAAGTGTTTCCGTTTGCAGGAGATTAAAGAGACATGACAACTAAATGCAACTTACAAAGGGCTTTATTAGGACAACGAGTGAAACTTGAGTGAGGCCAGTAGATTAGATGGTAGCATTGCATCATTGTTTATTTCCCAATTTTGATGGTTGTACTGTGTCCCAAAGGGCATCTGGGACAGAGAAAGCTGACTTGCTATAGGGAGACAAGTGCCTGTTCAGTGTGAGGAAGAGCTTTTTGCCAATTGGACAGTAATTTCGGGAGTACCGTCATGGGATTTGTTCTGAGAGAGACTAGACAACCCATTCTCAAGGATGTCACAGAAAGATTTCCTGAACCCAATCATTGCTGAGCCCAAAGGCCACTAAGGTCCTTCTGATGAGGAGCCTGTGGTTCCCTCTTATCTTCAGGTATTGGGATTTGAGCATTTCTGGAAGAAAATGCACCTGTGTTGGACAAGGATGGCCATCCTTTTTTGTTCAAATGGGGCATGAATCATCTTGCTCTCACATGGGCTCTTTCAACATAAAATTATTAACATTTTGGAAAATTCACTTGTCCCCCAGAAAAAAGCTGGTCACAGCACTAAAAGTCAAAATGCATTAATTTTAGAAATGCCATTTCACAACATGAAACTAGGGCCTGAGAAAACAGAAAACAAAACTGAACAGAAAGTTTGACAAGAATTTAAATATTCAGCCTCTCTGGACCATGAACCATCTTGCAGTTGCTACTGGCTTGCCTGCTCGCATGCGTTTCACTCTTCACAAAATCTTGGGTCGTTGCTGAAAACTAATGCTCTCACAAGGCCAGCATACAGAATGGTCATCTGGGGAAGAGAGTGGCAAAGAGATTTCTTGAGAGGAGAGGAAATGTGGGAAAGTTTCCCCGACTCATGGCAATGGCACAAGATTCAACCCTCCTCCAAGCCATGCTAGGGAAGAGGGATCCCACAGTCCATTTACTAGGGACAGGCAGACATGCAAACCATTAACAATCCTTCGCTCTATTTAGTAACAAGACTTTCTCTCCACCAAGCCTCTCCTGGTTAGCGAAGTGCTCAGAGGTCTGCCACTCAGAACAGCTCCTGGAGAAAATAGCTTTCTCAACAGTCACTGTTTGCACAGGGGCCAGTACTTCCCTACATGCACTGGCATGGACAGTGCTGCACCTTTCCAAAGCTCATTCCTGGCACTCCTTTTAATTAGCTTCCATCTACTCTCCCTAGGTCTGCCCCGTTCACCATGCTTCCTGGTTTTCGATCTACGGAATGACTGTTTACAGTCCCCTAGCTCATGCAGATCTCTGGAACCACCGAGAGGAACAGCCACCCAGATCCTTTCCCAGCCAAGGAGGGTAGGCTTGAGTCCTTACTGAGAGCCTACATGGGCCTCTCTGCCCCAACTCATCCCGCCCGCCACTGCTAGCCCTCTCCCTTCTCACCTGAGTTTCATAGATTCTCCTGATGGGGCCAAGGTGGCAAAGGAAACGCAACCCCATGCCACACCATTTTTCAGCGGATACAAACATGCCGCTGCCATACATAAATATTCCAGTATTCCAGGACTTGATCATCAGTATGAGAATCTCCATTTCTGGGTAGCCTTCCTGAAATCCAAGAACAGTGGGTTTACAGTTATCATTGTCACAATCATTGTACCACTGACTATACCCGTGCTGCATCCCATTATTATTCAACAAACAATGGGAGTCACAGCCTCCACGAGCAGGAGGAGAGCACCCTGAAGGTCTGTCAGCTGTAGAATGCTCCAGAGCAAGACCTCGTGAAATGACATACACAGAAAAAGCAATGTGGCCCCTTGGTCTAAGTCCTGGTCTTCCTGTATCCTGTTGTCAAGAAGCAGGTTTATTGAATCTCTTAATTTCCTTGACCAGAAGCAGTCTGTGTTTGGAATAGAAATTATATTAATCTTTATTTTTTGCATGTATGTATATATATAGAGATAGATAGATATTTATCTTAAGGAACTGGCTCACACAATTGTGGTAGCTAGCAAGTTTGAAATCTGTGGGGTAGACCAGAAGGCAGGAAATTCAGGTAGAAGTTGACGTTTTGATCTTGAGTCTGAAATCTGTAAGGCAGGCCAGCAGGCTGGAAAGGGGCAGGATTTCTATGTTACAGTCTTGAGGCAGAATTCCTTCTCCAGGAAATCTCAGTTTTTGCCTTAAAAGCAAAAACTCATTGTGGAGGGTAATCTGTTTTACTTTAACCTCAACTGATTGTCATTCTTAAGAAATGTTAACCTTTAGTGTTGACAATATTTACCTAGCTATGAAAAAAGGGCACACTTCTAAGACGGTCCCTGCACCTTATGGGTGGTCTTTAACATGGCTGATCACAAGATTTTGCAGTAGTTAGAAGGATTGGGGTAGGGAACAACTTCCTCAGTTCTTGGACTGGTGCTGAATGGCAAAGGGAGCATTTTTGTGCTCACCCCACCTTAAAGTCCTTGGAAGCGGAAATGCTTTAAGAGACTTGCTTGGGCAGCAATGGCAGAGTGTTAATGACATTGTCTCAGCTGTATTTCTTTCACGCATTTGGATCTATCAAAAATCACTATGCATAAAACACTATGAGAATGAGGGCATTAGAAGCGACAAGATAAAGCTCTGACCCTAAAGGACACACAGCGCCTTTGGGGAGATCAGGCATCCACGTGTAAAGAGGGCTCCACATGGTGCATGATTAGGGGCTAGTCAGAGCAACACGCGCAGTAGGTGTCCTAGTTCAGTAAGAGAGACAATCATGGGGTGACACAGTGAGAGGGGGCCTAGCCAGTCTCTTTGCTTGAAATGCCACCCCATCCTTGTTCACTTGGCAGACTTCTATTTTTTCTTCAAATTCACAAGCAGAGTGAGTTGCCCTTTTCTCTCTGTTTCCAGAGCAAGTGTAACATTCCTCTAATACAACTTAGCAGGTTGTTTTGAAACTATTTATGTATTTATCTCCTCCTGCAGGCTCCTGAGCTCCTTGAGCCCCAAGGAACTTCTCTTCATCATCTTTGGATCCTCAGAGTCCAAAACTGTGCCTGGCACACAACAAGAGTACAACAAACGTTTGCTGAATGAATGAATCAATGAATAAATGAACAAATGAATAAATACCTAGTCAAATGCAATTCCTCAGTGAGGCTTTCCCTGATTCTCCACAACTGATGATCCCTACCACATTATTCACAGCACTATAACACTGTGCTGGCTGTCTCCTCCATTAGGCTGGGCGTTCACTCCTTCAATGCAGACTGTCATCTACCTTTGTGTGTTCACAGCCTGGCACAGTGTCTGACAGTGTTGTGATTTTAACATAACGAACGAACAAATGACTGAACAAACATGTTCTTATGGTACACTATATGGCAAACTAAAAAGCTCCTGCACGGCAAAATAAAGCATCAACCAAACTAAAAGGCAACCAACCAAGTGGGAGAGAATATTTACAAACAACATCTCTGATAAGGGGTGAATATCCAAAAAATATAAAGAACTCATACAACTTAACAACAAAAACAAATAAACAATCCCAATTAAAAAATGCACAGAGGACCTGAACAGACACTTCTCCCAACAAGACATACAAATGACCAACAGATATATGAAATGATGCTCAACTTCAGTATCTAATAGGGAAACGCAAATCAAACCCACAATGAGATACCACCTCACACCTGTTAGAATGGCCATCATCAACAAGACAAGTAATAACAAGTGTTGGAGAGGACACAGGGAAAAAGGAACCCTCATTCACTGCTGGTGGGAATGTAAATTGGCACAGCAGCTCTGGAAAACAGTATGGAGGTTCCTCAAAAAATTAAAAGTAGAAACACGACCCAGCAACCCTTCTTTTGGGTATCTACCCAAAAAATTTAAAGACATTTATCTGTAAAGATATATGCACCCTTATGTTCATTGCAGTACTATTCAACAGTGGCCAAGACATGGAAACAATCAAAGTGTCCTTCGATAGATAGTTGGATAAAAAAGATGTGGTATATATACACAATGGAATACTACTTGGCCATAAGAAAAGATGAAATACTGCCATTTGTGACAACATGGATGGACTGTGAGATTATTATGCTAAGTGAAGTACATCATACAGAAAAAGTCAAGAACCATGTGATGTCACTCACATGTGGGGTATAAAACTGAAAGCAGCAAAGGAACAAGACATACAAAGAAACAAAAACTCATAGACACAGACAATAGTTGAGCAGTTACCAGAGGGTAAGGGGGGAGAGGATGGTAGATGAGGGTAAACCGGGTCAAATATATGGTGATGGAAGGAGAACTGACTCTGGGTGGTGAACACACAATGTGATCTATAGATGATGTGTTACAGAATTGTGCAGTTGAAGCCTATGTAACTTTACTAACCATTGTCACCCCAATAAACTTTAATAAAAAAATAAAGAACAAAATAAACAAATAAACAAAACAGAAACAGACCTATAGCTACAAAGAACAAACTGATGGTTACTAGATGAGAGGGGGTTGGGGACTGCATGAGTAAGGGGAGAGGATTAGAAAGTACAAATTGGTAGTTATAAAATAGTCCCAGGGATGTAAAGTGCAGTATGGGGAATATAATCAATAACATGCTAATAACTATGTATAGTGGCAGATGGGTACTAGACTAATCGGGAAGATGACTTCATAAATTACATAGATGTCTAACCATTGTGCTGTACACTGGAAACTAATATAAAATAATACTGAATGTCAAATGTAATTAAAATAAATACTCCCGGGAATATATAATACAGCATAAGGAATACAGTCAATAATATTCTAATAACTATGTATAGTGTCAGATGGGTAAGAGACTTATTGGGGTTATTTGTTAAGTGTATAAATGTGTAATCACTATGTTGTTTTGCACAGCTAAAACTAATAAAAATATAAATCACAAAAACAAAAACAAAAAACTTGTAGATAGACAACAGTTTAGTGGTTACTAGAGGGGAGGAGGGGGGAGGGGAGAAGAGGGTAAAAGGGGTCAAATATATGGTGGTGGAAGGAAAATCGACTGGGTGGTGAGCGCACAATGCAACATATAGATGATGTATTATAGAATTGCATACTTGAATCCTATATCATTTTATTAATCAATGTCACCCCAATAAATTTAATAAAAAACCATCTTGAAAGGTTATATACTGTACAATTCTAAATCTCAAAAGTTATATACTGTATTATTCAATTTATATAACATTCTTGAAATGACAAAATGATAGAAGTTGATAATTAGTGGTCACCAGGGTTTAAGGAGGGATTGGGGGCGGGTGGGAGAAAAGTGGGTAGGAGCTATAAATGGGCAACATGAGGACTCCTCGTGGTGACAGAAAAGTTCTGTGTGTTGACTGTATAGTGTCAACATGCTGGCCGTGCTATTGTACTGGAGTTTTGTAAGATGATGTCACTGGGGGAGACCGGGTAAAGGGTACCCAGGATCCCTCGCGTTGTTGCTTACAACCGCATGCGCGTATACACGTATTTCAAAATAAAATTAAGAAAAACCAGAGCAATCTACTTTCTCTTAACTAATCGAGAATATGTACATACTATAGACTATGTAGGCTTGTCTGCTCAAGCATGCAAGTAATCCATTCTGCTTTTCCATCGGCAGTGGATTCTGAATACCAAATGGAGCCTCTCCTTTCAACTAAAATTTCCTAGCAAGCACAGACAAAGACGTGTGCTCTGGTTGAGAGCGTCCTAGAATTGAGGTCAGAAGACCTGGGTTCTAGTCGTGCTTCTCATTCATTAGCCATGTGAACTCAGGCAAATTGGTAACTTGACTTTTTTGAATCGGATAATGATACCAGCATTCTCTACTCTGTAGAAATGCTGTGTGTGTGTGTTCATATGAAATAATGGATGTAAGGATACTTTGTGAAATGTAATGCTTGATACTGTGAGGCACGAGGTTTTATATTTGTGTGATAGCCATTTTGCCACTGTGTGAAGGTGTTGCCACGCAGCTGTGCGGCCGTCTGTCCCCGTGCACTTAACCCTAAACTGACCCTTTTGAGGACACTGCTCATACACCTAGCGTCTCTGTTTGGCTCCAAAGGATGGCCGGTTAGTCAATAACGGGTAAGATTCCTCGTGGGAGGAACAACCTAAGACAGGCACGGTTGGGTGGAGGCCATTAGGAGAAATCTCGGGGCTCACAGAGGAGGGCATGAGCCCTCACTCGCCCCCCCCCAAAAAAAAAACACTGGAGGTTTTCTACCTCTGTAGCTACATTCCTTCACTCAGCCTGCTTGGGAGGTGACCTGATGGTGTGATAGTATCTGTCCTCAGCACAACAATCTTATCTTCCTGGGGTCGTTTGCATATAGGGTGTGTGAAGGCAGAGCATCTGTCTTATTGCTGCAGGCGGACTTTTGGTAATAGCAGCTTGCAGGCATCATGGGTATCTGGCTTGAGCAAGTTCTCAGGAATGAGACTCACAGACTGTGGAGAGAACAATGCTACTTCTAAAGTTTATCTGCTCAATAAATAAGGAGTGTCTGGCCATTAGAAAAGTCAAACAAGGGCAGAATTTTCTCACAAGCATTTAAAACAAGGGCGATGCATAGCACATTCAATCAAACAGGGAAAAGCAGCATACACTATATAAAGAGTCAAGAGGGTTATTAAATTAACCTCTGCATAAAAAAGCTAACTATCCCATCAGGTTTTAGGCAATGAGCAATAATGGATGGGAGACTTTTCAAAAAAGCAGAAAAATATTAAGCTCTCTAGGAGACAATTTAAGAGCCAGAGAGATGGAACAGTAATATATTAGACAGAATAAAAGTTGCAAAACCAAAACGCTCGGAGTAGTTCTGGCCTTATATAGAAACTATGGAAATCGATTCATTTAGATTTATAGTACACTTTAATTTTAGTTTGCATAAGTTACTATGGCGAACACATCTGAAGGTCCAGATGAGGCTCAGGGTTTGGAAAATGAATTTTCTCCTCTTCCCAAAAGAAAGTAGAAAAATGTATATCCAAAATGTTCATTTTTAAAAGCTTTTTTTTTAAAGGTTTTTATTGGGGAATTGGGGGAACGGGAACAGACAAGTTGCTGCCCTTTTGTTCTTCTGTCTATCGTGGAGGATGTTGCTTCACTGGCCCAAGTTGGCACCATCATTGCACTCCTCCCAGGCGAGGCAGATCAGTCGCGGGCTTCTGGACAGCTGCTCACGCTGGCTGCTGGCTCCATACGGTAGCCTATGGCAACCCACTGCCACAGGGGCTGCAGCCTACGCCATCGCAGGTGACTCCCGGCAGCCCAGCTCCAGGTTGAGCTGTTGTTCAGCATCTTAGCTGTNATGTGGGATCCGAACCGGGGCCCTCTGGCGTCCCAAGCCAGCTCTTAACCAACACGCCACTCAGCCGGTCCAAGCTTTTTTTTTTAAACTTCAAGTCACACAGGCCATAACCACATAGCTCCGGGAGACTTCTAGGTTTGTGCATGTCCATGCTACTTTGCACCAGGTTGTCACCCTGATATACTGTCCTACCATCTATCTATCAGGGATTGCAGACACTTATGTGTGAAGAAGCAGTTGAGCCCAGAACAGAATCAGCAACCTTAGATACTAACACTAACTCAAGTTATGACTTTCTGTGTGACTTTAAGCAAGCCATTTAATCTTAATATTTTACAGCTCCCTTATAATGACAATACCACCTTACAGGTAGACAAGCTATTAAAATTTATAACGCACATTATTATTTTTTTGATATTCAATGACCTCTGAACATTTTATTGACCTACTGCCTCCCAAGAGATGCCCTGCTTCTGCTGCCTTAACGCCTCACTACTTTGGTGCCATTGACCTCAGACACCACTTTGTCATCCATAATCCTGCGGGTGGTGGTCTTTTGGACAGATTGCATGGAGCTGCTGTCCAGGGTGTCACCAAGATCAAAGCCTTCCCTTTCTCCCAGCAGGAGGCAGTAGGTGGTGATGTCAGCCTGTAGCTTGACCTTGATGTTCAGCAGAGCCTCACAATCCTGAGTGTGGCACTGCCCCTCTTTTCAAGTCTGGGCCAACTCTGACTCCAGGTGTAGCAGGATCCTGTTGAGATGTTCCATCTGCAAGGCATAGCGTGTCTCTACCTACCTTAGGCTGTTCTCCAAGCTGGCATTCAGATTTCTCATCGAGTCCAGGTTGATCTCCAAGAACTGGTATGTACGTCTCAGCTCTATGAGTGTCATCTCAGCAGCTTCTACCTCAGCAGTCTGTGAGGTGACCACTGTGGTGCTCTCCTCAGTCCACTGGGACCAGTACTTGTCTAGCTCCTCTCGGTTCTTCCAAGCCAGCTCTTCATACAGGGCGTGGATGCCGGCCATGATCTTGCTGAGGTCCTGAGATTTGGGAGCATCCAGCTCCTTGGTCAACCCAGAGTTGGCAATATGGTTTTGTAGACCATTTACTTCCTTCTCATGGATCTTCTTCATGAAGAGCAGCTCCTCCATGACAGCCTCGCTCTCCATCTCCCACGGCAGCCGAATGATATTGGTGTCATCAATGACTTTTCGGAGCCCATTGATGTCATTCTCCACAGACTGACGCATGGCCAGGTCTGTCTCATACTTGACTCTGAAGTCATCAGCAGCAAGAAGAGCATTGTCAATTTACAGAATGATGTGGGCATTGTCCACAGAACTTGCAAAGATCTGAGCCCTTGGGTCCTCGATGGTCTTCAAGTAATGCCCCCATTCTCTGACGGGAAGGGGTTCCTTCTTCTCCACGTGTTCCCGGATTTAGCTCTCCAGTCTCCAATTATCAGCCTCTAGGCTTCTCACCCTCCCCAGGTAGAAGGCCAGGTGATCATTCAGGCATTGCATCATAGTCTCCTTCTTGGTCTGGATGCCCCCTAGGCCTGCCAGACCCCCAGACTCCAAGCCACCCCAGACACTGGTGGAGTGGGACACAGAAATCCAGAAGGCTGAGCCCCCTGTGTCTGCATAAACTCTGGCTGGGAGAACCCGGTGGCTGGGCGACTACACAGAGCCCAGGTTCTGGTAGTTTGTGGAGAAGCTGGAGCAGGTGCTGAAGCTCAGGTTGTTCCAGGAGGAAAGTGAGAGGGCAAGCCTCAGGCTCAGGACGCGGTACAACACACAATATTATTTTAAGTGATCTTAAAACCTCAAATGAAAAAACTGTACTCAAACAGCAAAAGAGGGATATCCATATGCCAAAACAAACAAACAAGAAGCCATTTAGACCCTTACCTCACACCACAAACAAAAATGAACTCAAAATAGATCATAGACCTGTTTGTAAGAGATAAAAGTATAAAAACTTCTACAAGAAAACACAGGAGACAATCTTTGTAGGTTTGGGTAGGCAAAGTTTTCTAATCATGACCAAAAACCTGACCCATAAAAGAAAAAATTGATAAATCTGACTTCATAAAATTTCAGAACTTTTGCTGTTTAAATGATGCCATTAAGCAAATGAAAAGGCAAGCCAAAGACTTGGAGGAAATACTTACAAATTGTGTATTTGATAAAGGATTTGTATCCGGAATATATAAAGAACTCTTATAACTGAATGAGAAACCAATTTTTAAAATGTAAAAACCATTGAATATACAATTTCTAAAAGAGATATAGAAATGGCCAATAAGCACATGAAAAAAAAATGATCAATAGTACTGTGACCATCAAGAAAATGCAAATCAGGGCCTGCCGAGTGGCACCATGCTTAAGAGCTGGCTTGGGATGCCAGAGGGCCGCGGTTCAGATCCCACATATGAGGGCCAGTGACACTGCCCCCTGCAGCTAAGATGCTGAACAACAGCTCAACTTGGAGCTGGGCTGCTGTGAGTCGCCAGTAACGGCATAGGCTGTAGTCCCTGCTGCAGTGGGTTGCCATGGGCTACCGTATGTAGCCAGTAGCCAGTAGCCAGCGTGAGTGGCCAACAGCCACAGTGAGCAGCCGTCCAGAAGCCAGCGACTGATCCGCTGCACCTGGGAAGAGCACAATGATGGTGCCAACTTGGGCCAGTGAAGCAACGTCCTCCACAACTAGACTGAAGGACAAAAGGACAGCAACTTGTCTGTTCCCCTTCCCCCAATTCCCCAGCGCTGTTCCCATCCCCCCAATTCCCCCCCAAAAAAGAAAAGAAAATGCAAATCAAAACCACAATGAGCTACCACTGCACATCCACTAGGAGACAACATTAAAAAAAGACAGACAGTAACAAGTGTTGATGAAGACATGGAGAAAGTGCAACAGTCATCCACTGCTGACGGGACTGGAAAATGGTGCAGCTGCTTTGGAAAACAGACTGCACCTCTCAAAAAGTTACACAGAGTTACCATACGACCCAGAAATTCATTTACTCAAGAGAACTAAAAACATGTGCCCACGCACAAAGACTTACATACACAAATGTTCACAGCAGAATTATTAATAACAGCAAAAAGTGGACACAACTCAAATGTCCACCAACTAGCGAGTTGATAAACAAAATGTGGGATAGCCATTCAACAGAAGATAATACTATTTGATTTATTCAGCAATAGGAAGGATTAAAATACTGACACATCATTGTCACCCCAATAAATTTTGATTAAAAAAATACTGACACGTGCTAATACATGGTTGAGCCTCAAAACACACTAAATTGAAAGAAGTCAGACATAAGAGGTCACACATTGTATGACTGCATTCATATGAAGTGTCCAGAAAGAGATAATCAACAGAGACAGAAAGCAGATGAGTGGTGACCTGGCCCTGAAGGTGGGACTGACTGCAAATGGCAAGAGGAAACTTTTTTGAATAATGGAAATATTCTAAAACTGGATTGTGGTGACAACTGCATAACTCTATCAATTTACTGCAAATCACTGAATTGTACACATACCATGGGTAAATTTCATGGTATGTGAATTACACCCTAATAATGCTGATTTTTAAAATCCCTGAATATGTACACCTGAAACTAACAATAAAAAATTAAAAATTAAAAAAAATCCCTGAATAAACCTGCACTGAAAAGAAAAAACAAAAAATCAAGGAGACTAAAATACAGGTCTTCAGTGTTTCTTCTACTCTATTACCGCCTCTGAGAAATGGTGGAAATATCCATGAGCTTTTTCAAAGGGTTAGTATCATCACAGTGGAAGTAATAATTCTATCAGGTTTTAAAAATACAAAATATTTTAAAAAGCCAGGTGGTACTGCTATTTTGACCTAATCCACAGTATGCTTGTATTAAAAATGTTCTACTTTTAACTATTTACATTTCATAAACCAGTGAAATTTTGTAGTGTGTTGATACACTGTAATAGGAATTTATTTACCCTAAAACTCATATCAGAAAGCAATACTCTATGTAATGTCTAAGACACAAAACAGCTCAAATCTTTAAAATTAGCTGAAAGTTTGACTTACATTGTGGTTAAGAAAGCTCAGAGCATCTTCAAAATAGCCCCAAAGTTCTTCGAGGGGACAGAGTTCTGTATTTGGCACCCGATCTGGCACTACGAGGCAAATCAAGTTGTGCACGCATGTGCTGAAATAAAAAAGAGAAAACTTATCCTACAAGGAAAGAAACCATTGTTTTCACGGTTAAGATAAGTGAAGTCCAGATCTCATTTCAGACCAAGAACCTCAAAACGTGTCTGTTCTTCCCTCCAACCTCAGAAAACTGAGTTTTGAGGCCAGAAATGGGGCTGACCAATCCTTCCTTTTATTATGCCTATGGTTGTCTTTCAGTGGTGTTTTCCATTTCCTACACTAAGGAGTTGCAGGTGTTCACTACATTCTATAAGCTGGTTCAATCGGCAGGCACTGTAAAGCATCTTTTTACATCCTTAAATGGGCAAGGGATCTGGGACTTAAGTTGGAAATAACTCCAGGAGAACTGCCTCTCAAATCTCAGAAAAGGGAGATTGCAATGTAGTTTTCCAGAGAAAAATCACACATCTATTTTTTCCCCATGTCTAGGGATAGAAAACATAAAATCGCAAATAAATAGTATTTTATATTATGTACAGCACTTGTCGGCCTTTACAGAAAGGTGCTTAGAAATAAAATCTGAAGCAAAACAGCAAAATGTCAACATCTGCTCAATTTGGGTGGTGGGCAGTTTGTTGTTTTTCTATTAATCTCTGTACTTTTCTGTACATTTGGCATATTTAGTAATGAAATGAAGAAAAAAGGTATGTAGTAATTTTAGTGTATACATAGATTCACACAAAGAAACAACTTTTTCTCCTTTGGGAAAACCAGACTCCTTGATATAGCTAATTAATTGTTGGTCTATAATACATATTATAGACCAATTACACAATATATAATATGGAGCTGTTCCGAAAGACTATCCAGTCCAGGAGTTACAAGAGTGCCTCGATCACCTTTTAAGTTGAGTGAGTTGAGTATGACCAACGCCGTGTGAGGCACCGACTATAGCTCTTTTGGCTATCAAAAAGCCTGGATACAGAATTACTAACCTGTATTGGAAAACATCAGTTGAGTTTCTCATTTTGTGGAGCAATAACGCCCTTTTCAAGGCCTTTAGAGCGATGTAAGGATAGTACGCAGGCAATTCCATTGCTAATGCTATAGGAAAGGAAGAAAAAAGGTTGTGAACATCATAATCTCATGCATCACAGTTTTTATCCCAGGCTATAACTTGCTTTCTCTCTAAGAAAAATGGCCTGAAATAGATAAACAAAAACAAACACACAAAAAGAATTTTAAAAAACAATGAATCCGTGGTGGCTTCTACTTTCTAGGCAGTAGGATCACCAGGTCATCATATCTGTCTCTGTGACCCTGTGTACAGTCATACAGGAGAAGCGATAATCTTACGAACCAGAGTCCAGGAGGGGCATACTAAGAAGGAAACAGAAAGCAGGTCAGTAAAAGGGCAGCAATCAAAACTAGATTTCTATGACAATATACTGTTTTTGTCTGATGCTAAAAACAGGAAACACTTGACATGAGAGTGAGCATCCAAGATAACAAAGCCTAACACTTCCAGATGCATTTCCCCGGCCTCTAGCATAGGAACTCCTTCATATGAGGAGCAGTGGTCACCATCACATGTCCATCATGTGTTTAGGAATTCTGCCTTGGTGAGACAAAGAAAGGCACAGGGGACTCCTGTGCCCTTGGGGCTACCTGAGACCTTTATTAACCACACTCAGGCTTCTGAGGAGGGGGGCAGATAAAAAGAGAAGAGAGTTAGGCCACTTCAGGCAGGACGTCCTCGATGTCCCCATACAGGCTCTGGGCCCCAAATATCACTTGCAGTCCAAGCAGAAATTAGAGGGTGGCAATTGTTTTAAAAAATATTCCCAATATTTCTCTGTACACTTTAATAAATTGCTATGATTGCATCACCTTTGATTACTGAAGTGGTCCATCATCATTTCCAGCAGCTGAGCAAAACTAAGTTGGAGCTCCCCCTACTGTGTAGTGATACAGGGATGCCAAAAAAATGTATACGAGTGGACGCTTTGGTCCACGTTGCTCAAGCAGTAGTTTGCCGTCATCAGAAGTGTCTGGATGCTGATGGGAACCACTCTGAGCACCTCTTGTCATTGCAGAAGTCAAACGGGACTTGTATTCATCTCTTGTTATTGGCATATATTGAGTATTACAATCTTAATACAGTTTTCCTTTCTTAAAATGTGTATACTTTTTTGGCACCCTCTGTATAATTCGATTGCACCCATAGAGTAAAAATTTATCACTACTGATTGTTATTGCCTGTTAGAAGCAATGCACTTCGTCAGGGTTTATAAGTACAACAAACAGAAGTGATTACGGTTCATGACCCCAAAGAGCTTATAATCTTATATAAAAAAAGATAAATGCACAAATGATTGTAATACAAAACTGATAGTTCAAGAATGCCATTAGAGAACAAAAACCAAGTGCGATGAGTAAATGTTTTCTCCCACCTGGAGGCAAGAGAGGAGAACAGAGAAAAGGAATTAAAAGGTAGTACAATTTAAATTGGTTCTAGCCTTCCAAAAACATAAATATAGCTCTTACATGCAATTGTTTCCAGTGTTTTACTTTCTATGTCAGGCTGTTCCCACACTGGTTCCAGGAAGTTGTCCAGTAATGGATCATTCTGTTTGGCTTTAATTTCAAACTCATACAGCAGAAGCAATGTCTCACATGGATCATTCGAGAAGTTTCCTAACAAAGAGGCAAAAATGCAACATTATCTGTGATTACATTTCATTACTCTCTCCTATTCGAATCGCTCTTCTGGGGAGATTTTCCTGTTGAGGAAAATTAATTTGACTTACAATTTGGAGGTTATCTCAGCTTCTGTAGATACATTTTTTACATTTTTAAATCTAGAAACTCACCAATGCTTTCAGCACCCTGTATTGTAATCACTAGCATTGCCTACATTTCCTAAAATTATTGCCATGGGTTCCAAAAGTGCCTGGGAAAAGCCTGCTGCTGTCTATTTCAAGTCCAATGTTTACCTGCCTGGCTTTGATGACTTAGGTAACCAGAAGATGCAGTGTTGTGCAAACTAATTGTGGTTTTATTGTAAGCAAAAGGGAGTTTTCAAATTGTTTCATATCATAAGTCAACTATATTTCTTGGGTATCACCATGGGAAGAATCTTGTATCAGGTGACATATACCATACCATGTGAGATGGTTTCCATTCACCCTGTTAGACTGAACTTTTAAAGAAGTGTTGAGGTATAGCATACGTGCAGTAAACTGAATGAGGTGAATTTGTCTTAAACAGCTTGATGAATTTTTAGATATGTTTAAATCCATGTAACTACTGCCCCAATCATGATATAGAACACTTCCAACACTGTGTTCCTTTCCAGTCAGTACCACCTTAGCAGACTTAACAGCTATTTTGACTTTTATCACTATTGATTGTTATTGCCTGTCAGTGAACTTCATTGCTAGTACATATATAATCAACTTCTGAATATTGACCTTGTATCCTATAACTTGCTAAAGTTGTTTAGTAGTTCCAGTAACTTTTTGTAGATTCTTTGGGATTTCCTATACAGATGATCATGTCATCTGCATGTAAATAGAGATAGTTTTGTTTGTTCTTTTTCACTCCACAGACATACCTCATTTTACCTGCTTCGCTTTAACAAGTGAAAACCAATTAATGTAATACACCACATAAATAAAATAAGAAACAAATTACATGACAATCTCAATAGGGTCAGAAAAGCATTTGACAAAATCCAACATCTTTCCATGATAAAAACAATGAACAAACTTGCAATAGAAGGGAACTTCCTCAACCTGATAAGGGGCATCTATGAAAACCCCACAGCTAACAACATATTTAATGGTGAAATACTGGATTCTTTCCTTTTAAGATCACGAACAAGACAAGGATGCCCACTTTCACCACTGCTATTTGAAACTGTTCTAGAAGTTTTAGCTAAAGAAATTAGGCAAGAAAAAGAAACAAAATACATCAAGACTGGAAGAGAAGTAGTGAAACCATCTCTATTCATACACAATGTGATCTTTTAAATATATCTCTAGGGAGTCCAGTAAAACACCATTAGAAATAATAGACAAGTTTAACAAGATCAGTATACAAAAATCAATTCTATTTCTATACAATAATAATGAACAAACTGAAAAATAAGATTAAGAAAACAATCCCATTTTCAATAGCATCAAAACGAATAAAATACTTAGGAATAAATTAAACAAGTACAAGACTTGTGCATTGAAAGAAATTTTAAAAGATGTAAATAAGTGAAAAAATACTCCATATTTATGGATTAGAACACTTAACATTGCTAAAATGGCAATATTCCCCCAAATAATCTACAGATACAACACAATTCCTCTCGGAATTCCAGCTGGCTTTTGTATTTTTTCAGAAACTGAAAGAGTGATCCTAAAATTCTCATGGAAATTTAAGGGGCCCAGAATAACCAAAACAATCTTGAAAAGGAAGAACAAATTTGGAGAATTTGCACTTCATGGTTTCAAAGCTTTGTACTACAAAGCTATAGTAATCAAGACAGTGTGGTATTGGTATAAGGACAGACATACTGATCAATGGGATAGAATTGACAATCCAGAAATAAAATCATGTGTCTATGGTCAGCTAATTTTCCACAAAGAGGTAAAGACCATCCAATGGGGAAAGAATAATGTGTGTTTTTTCTTTAATTATTAAAAAAATGGTTCTGGGACAACTGGATAACCACATGGAAAGGAGTGAAGTTGGACTCTTATCTCACACCACATACAAAAATTAACTCAAAATGGATCAAAGACCTAAATGTAAGAGCAAACACTATAAAACTCTTTAGAAGAAAACACAGGAGTAAATACTCATGACTTTAGATTTGGCAGTTGATTCTTAGATATGACACCAAAAGCATGAGCAACAAGAGAAAAATAGATAAAATGTTACTTCACTAAAGTTTAAAAAAATTGTGCTTCAAAGGGCACTATCAAGAAAGGGAAAAGAGGGCGGCTGGTTGGCTCAGTTGGTTAGAGCGCATGCTCTGAACAACGAAGTTGCTGGTTCGATTCCCACATGGGCCAGTGAGCTGCACCCTCCACAACTAGATTGAAGGGCAAGGACTTGACTTGGAGCTGATGGGTCCTGGAGAAAACACACTGTTATCCAATAAAAATTAAAGAAAAAAAAAGGGAAAAGATAACCAAGAGAATGGGAAAAAATATTTCCAAGTTATATATCTGATCAGAAACCTGTATCTAGAATATATAAAGAACTCTTATGACTTAATAATAAAATGACAAATAACCCAGCTAAAAATTGGGCAAAGTGTCTGAACAGACATTTCTCCAAAGAAGATATACAAATGGCTAATAAGCCTATGAAAAAATGCTCAACACCATTAGTTGTCAAGAAAATCGGTCATCAGGGAAGCAAAATCACAATGAGGTATCACTATACACTCACAAGGATGGCTAGAGAATAAAAATATCAGATAATACAAGTATTGGCACGGAGGTGGAGAAATCAAAAGCCTCATACCACTGCTGACAATATAAAATTGTGCAGACACTTTGGAAAACAGTCTGGCAGTTACTCAAATGATTAAACACAAATGGTTAAACACAGAGTTACCATATGACCTAAGTATATTCCCAAGAGAAATGAAAACATATGACCCCACAAAAACTTGTGTATAGGGCCGGCCGAGTGCCTCAGTTAGTTAAGAGCTGGCTGAAGAGTGCGAGATCTGAGCAACAGGGTCACTGGTATGATTCCCCGCCCGAGCTGAGCTACCGCTGAGCTGCCAACGGGTGACAGAATGGCTCAGCTAAAAAACAAACAAACAAAAAAACAAAAAACACTTGTGTATAAACGTTACATCAGCATTATTCATAAGTCAAAAGATGGAAACAACTTATGTTTATCAACTGATGAATAAATAAAATGTAGTCTATCCATACAATGAAATATTATTTGACCATAAAAAGGAAGTACTGATACATGCCACAACATGTATGAACCTTTACAACATTATGTTAAGTGAAAAAAGCCAGTCACAAAAGTCCACATATTATATAATTCCATTTATATGAAATATCCAAAATATGCAAATCTACAGAGATACAAAGCAGATTAGTGGTTGCTTTGGGTTCCTGGGGGAAATGGGGAAGATAAAGGATGTGACAGATCAAGGGTGCAGGGGTTTCTTTTTGCCATGACAAAATGTTCTAAAATTTACTGGTTTTTTTTGCATTTTTAAAAATATTTTATTGGGGAACTAGGAGAGGGGGACAGTGCTGGGGAATCGGGGAAGGGGAACAGACAAGTTGCTGTCATTTTTGTTCTTCAGTCTAGTTGTGGAGGACGTCACTCCACTGGCCCATGTTGGTGCTATCATTGCGCTCTTCCAGGGTGAGGCAGTCACTCACCGGCCACTGGACGGCAGCTCACAAAAGTGCAAGCCAGCTGCTGGCCAGGTCCACTGCAGCCTACGCCGTCGCCAGCGACCCACGCAGCCCAGCTCCAGGTTGAGCTGTTGTTCCCCATCTTAGCTGCAGAGGGCACAGCGTCACCGGCCCACATGTGGGATCCGAACCGGGGCCCTGCTGCCTAGAGCTGGCATCCCAAGCCAACTCCTAACCAACGCGCCATTCGGCCGGCACTAAAATTTACTGTTGATAGTGGTTACACACACCTGTGAATATACTAAAATCCACTGAATTGTACACTTTAATGTGTGAACTGTACAGCATGTGAATTATATCTCAATAAAGCTGTTTTTAAAAATGAATTTATACACTGTAACATTCCTCTGTGCCTGACTTCCTTTGTTCATGATGTCTGATATTCACCTATATTTTTGTATGTGTCAGAAGTACACTCCTTTTATTGCTTTGTAGTATTCCATTGTTTGAATATACCAAAATGTATTTAATCCATCCAAACATGCTTCTATCTGAGCAATGACCCAGCAATGCCACTCCTAGATATATACTTAGGTGAAATGAGTGTATCGGTTTACCATAATATGTTCCAGGATGTTCAAGACAGCTCTATTCATAAGAACTAAAGATTTGAAACAACCCTAGTGTCCATCAACTATACTAAATTCATTTATTTTAAAACTTTAAAATCAAACAGATACAGAAAACCATTGTGTGTGTGTGTGTGTGTGTTGTGTATTTTCATGTTGAATTCCTGTGATAAACCCTACTTGGTTATGATGTATTATCTTTTTATATATTGCTGGATGCAATTTCCTAAACTTTTGTTTAAGCTTTTTCATCTGTCATTTAAGATACTGACCTGTATTTTTCTTTTCCTAAAATGTCCTTGTCAGGTTTTGGCATCAGTCATGCTGTCCTCATAAAATCAATGCTACCACTTTTTCTATTTTCTATAAAAAATACTTTTACAGGATTGCTATTATTTCTTCCTTTATATTTGGAAAAAATTATACCAGTGAAGCCAATTTTCTTTCTGGGGACTTATTCCAAATTAAATTTCTTCAACAGGTATAGAACTATTAAAATAGTCTAAATAGGACTATTCAGACTCTCTATGGGCCAACTTTCATAGGTGTACTTTATAAAGAATTTGTCTATTTTGTCAACATAGTCAAATTTATTGGCATAATGTTATTCATAATGTCCTTATGTTGTCATCTTAATGTCTGAAAGGTTTGTAGTGACGTCTGCTTTTGAATAGTA